GCGACGCTCCGGACAGTGACGCTCAGCACAGCGACGCTCAGCACAGCGACGCTCCGCACAGCGCCTGGCACTTGGTACAGGCGCCGGTAGAGGGCGCTGTTGAGGCGTCTATTGCGATTAAGACGGTAGGAGATGGGGGAAGCTAAGTGAGTCTCTTTCCTGCCTTCCCGCAGCTGAGTGCACGGTTATGGGCATCCCCAGTATCTCCACCAATCTCTCCGGCTTCGGCTGCTTCATGGAGGAACACATCGCAGACCCCTCAGCTTACGGTCAGCGCCCAGGCCCCTGAGGATTCCAGAAGGGGGCTTGAGAGCCGGGACTCCTGGATCCTGGGAAGGAGGAGCTTGCACCCTTGGGGACCAGGGGCACCAGGAAATGGGGGGATTCTCGGGTCCCTGGGAGAGGAGGGGTCCTGGTGCCACAGAGTCCTGGAGACAATGAAGATCTCCCCAGGACATTTTCTGAACCCAGGTCCTGGCCTCCGCAGGTATCTACATTCTCGACCGGCGGTTCCGCAGCCTGGATGATTCCTGCTCGCAGCTCACCTCCTTCCTCTACAGCTTCTGTCAGCAGAGCCGGCGGCAGCGTATCATCCAGCGGAACCGCACGGAGCGCCTCTCCGACCTTCTGGACTGGAAATACCTAGGCCGGGTAGGACCCCCCCACCCGCCCCCCGCCACTTCCTACCGTCTTCTGGGAAATCAGCCGCTCCTGGCTCTCGGTCTTTGGTGCAGGGTGAAGGGTCTCATCCTACTTGTAACAGTTGCTGTCCCTTTAAGCAATGAACCAGGCCGATCGCGGTGGTGGCTCATCCCTGTAATCCCAGCACTTTGGGAGGCGTAACAGGGAGGATCGCTTGAGCTCAGGAGTTAAGAGACCATCCTGGGCAACATTTTCTTTCTACTAAAAATTAAAAAAAAAAATCAGCCGAGTGTGGTGGTGCGTGCCTGTAGTCCCAGCTACTGGGGAGGCTGAGATGGTAGAGTCTCTTGAGCCCCGGAGGTTGAGGCTGCAGTGAGCCTTGATCAACCCCACTGCACTCCATCCTAGGGTAACAGAGCAAGACCCTGTTTAAAAAGAAAAAAAGAACATTGGTCAGGCATTCTCATTTGCATAAAGGTATGGCCAAAGAGGTGCCTGACTTGAGTATTCAGCCCCTGTTTGAGGGGTGTGGCTCAGAAACTAGCCATTCATAGATCTTCTTATTTACATAAGGGGTGGAGTCAGATGGATTATTTGCATGGGGCAGGCCCAATGGTGCAGCAGGGTATGCTCATCTGCATAAAGGGTATGGCCAGGAGCCCCATCATCTGCCTGGGGGTGGGGCCTGGTTCTCACGTCCTCTGCCCCCTCCCCTCCTTTCCCCTAGTACTATATGTCTGCGCGCCACATGGCGCTGTCCAAGGCCTTTCCAGAGCACTTCACCTACGAGCCCAGCGAGGCAGATGCGGTGAGTGGACGCTGGATTTCTGCTTAGCCAGGAGCTAAAGGGCTGGGGGTCCCTCCTGGAATGGGAAGGCCTAGAGGTGGCTGGATGCCTGGATGGGACTGCGAGGTCCTCAGCTCACCCTGGTTTGCACCCATATTCCCGTATGCAGGCCCAAGGGTACCGCTACCCACGGCCGGCCTCGGTGCCACCGTCGCCCTCGCTGTCACGACACTCCAGCCCGCACCAGAGCGAGGACGAGGAGGATCCCCGGAACGGGCCTCTGGAGGAAGACAGCGAGCGCTACGATGAGGACGAGGAGGCCGCCAAGGACCGGCGCAACATTCGTGCACCAGAGTGGCCGCGCCGAGCGTCCTGCACCTCCTCCACCAGCGGGAGCAAGCGCAACTCTGTGGACACGGCCACCTCCAGCTCGCTCAGCACCCCCAGCGAGCCCCTCAGCCCCACCAGCTCCCTGGGCGAGGAGCGTAACTAAGTCCCCCCCACCACACTCCCTGCCTGTCCTGCCTCCCTGCTCCAGAGAGAGGATGCAGAGGGGGCTGCTCCTAAACCCCTGCTCCAGATCCGCACTGGGTGTGGCCCCGCAGTGCCCCCCCTCAGTCCGCCAAACACTCCAGCCCCTCCAGCTCCACTTTCCAAGTTCCTGCACTCCAGAATCCACAAAGCCGTGCCTTTCTCTGATTCCAGAGCGCATAATCCGCGCCCTGGAATCCCCTGGGCCTGGACCGCTTCCCAGAGGCCAGGAATCTGCCGTTACTCTGCGGTGGTGCCAGAGGTTTTAGGAAACCTGGCATGGTGCTTTCAGGTGTGGGGCTCCTAGAGCCCCCGTGAGGCTTGCAAATTCTACAGCACACAGAGCAGGCCACGCTCGGGCCGGGCATGCGGGCCACCAAGTGCTGGAAACCACGTGGTGTCCCTGCGAATGGGGCAATCAAGTCCAGAGCTAGGGCACTTTTCAGAGTTTGAAGGTAACTGAGAGCAGATGGTCCTCCATTTCAACTCCAGAACTGGGGCTCTGGGATGGGCTCATGTTCTAGCCCTCCCTGGCATGTCAGAGCCAGGCTCTGCCTGGAGGATCCCTCCATCTGGCTCCTGTCATCCCCTACGCTTTGGCCAAGCTAGAGGTGGCAGAACCACTTGGCCGCTCATTCCTTCTGGAGGACACACAGTCTCAGTCCAGATGCCTTCCTGCCTTTCTGGCCTTTTCTGGACCAGATCCTACTCCTCCTTTCTTTATCTGAGATCTCCCTCCAGGGAATCTGCCTGCAGAGGACAGAGCTGGCTGTCTACCCCCACCCCTAACCTGGCTTATTCCCAACCGCTCAGCCCACTGTGAAACCACTAGGTTCTAGGTCCTGGCTTCTAGATCTGGAACCTTACCACGTTGCTGCATACTAGTCCCTTTCCCATGATCCGGAACTGAGGTCACTGGGTTCTAGAACCCCCACATTTACCTCGAGGCTCTTCCATCCCCAAACTGTGCCCTGCCTTCAGCTTTGGTGAAAAGGAGGGACCCTCATGTGTGCTGTGCTGTGTCTGCACCGCTTGGTTTGCAGTTGGGAGGGGAGGGCAGGAGGGGTGTGATTGGAGTGTGTCCGGAGATGAGATGAAAAAAATACATCTATATTTAAGAATCCCAGGTGTGGTCAGACATGAATACTTGGTGGGCCTGGGTCTGACGTCCCCCCAGCGCCACCCCTTCCCTGGTCTGAGCTCATCCTCCTAGTCTAGAGAGACTTGGATTTTGCTGTTCTAAAATTCCAGTGTCATTCACGGAAGGTACCTCTGATTGCTTGCTTGGGCCTTGATTTGCAAGTGGCAAAAATTTGGCTTAAGACATCTTTGGCATAAAGGGGCTATGTGACTGGGAGGAAGATCTATAGGACAGCTGTGAACCTTGTGTAGCTTTTTTTTTTTTTTTTGAGACAGAGTCTCGCTCTGTCACCAGCCTGGAATACAGTGGAGAGCAATCTCGGCTCACTGTAACCTCCGCCTCCTGGGTTTAAGCAGTTCTCCTGCCTTAGCCCCCTGAGTAGCTGGAACTACAGGAGCACGCCACTACACTGGGCTAATTTTTGTATTTTTAGTAGAGGCAGGATTTGACCATGTTGGCCAGGCTGTTCTCCAAACTCCTAAGCTCAGGTGATCTGCCTGCCTCGGCCTCCCAAAGTGCTGGGATTACAGGTGTGACCCACCGTGCCTGGCCACTTCTTTTTTTGATAACAGGATCTCCCTCTGAATCCCAGACTGGAGTGTGGTGGAGAAATCATGGCTCACTGCAGCCTCAACCTCCTAGGCTCAAGTGATCCTCTCACCTCAGCCTTCCAAGTAACGGGGACTATAGGCACGTGCCACCACACCTGGTTAAATTTATTTATTTTTTTAGAGAATGGGGGGGCTCCCTATGTTGCCTAGGCTGGTCTCAAACTCCTGGGCTCAAGTGATCCTCCTGCCTTGGCCTCCCAAAGTGCTGGGGTTACAGGCTTGAGCCACCCCACCCCAGCCCCAGGGGAAGAAGGGGAGGAGTCAGAGCTGACACGGCAGTTTTGCAGCTTGGACCCAGCAGATGCTTTTTAAGGCCTGTTTTCAGCTTTTTCAGTTCCCACTTGGAGAATCCGGCCCAAAGTTTCACATCCCATTTCTATGATGAACCCTAAACCCCTTGTCCAGCCTTGCTTGGGCATCACGTGTGCCTGGCAGCTCAGCTCCACTTGTCAGTTCCTCTCAGTGTGCGCCTCACATTGGGATTACTGAAGCTTGGGCCATAACCTGTGAACTCTGGAGCAAAGACCTCAGTGAGCCTCCTGGTTGCCATGCAAGTTGCACAGCAATAGCCTCAACGTGCCCATATAAAGGGCCTAATAATTTCAGCTGCCTCCCAGAATTGAGGTTTTTTTTTTTTTTTTTTTTTGAGACAGAGTCTCACTCCGTTGCCCAGTCTGGAGCGCACTGGCACGATATCAGCTCACTGCAACCTCTGTGAGACAGATTATGTTTTTTGGGTTTTTTTTGAGACCGGAGTTTCGTTCTTGTTGCCCAGGCTGGAGTGCAATGATGTTGATCTCGGCTCACCGCAACCTCCGCCTCCCAGGTTCCAGCGATTCTCCTGCCTCAACCTCCTGACTAGCTGGGATTACAGGCATGCACCACCACACCCGGCTAATTTTGTATTTTTAGTAGAGGCGGGGTTTCTCCATGTTGGTCAGGCTGGTCTCGAACTCCTGACATCAGCTGATCGGCCCACCTGGCCTCATAATCACTCGTTAAATAGTGCTGTTTCTGGCTGAGACCTAACAGATCTGTGTCCAGGTACCAACCTAGGTCTTAATTCAACTCCCTGGAGGCTATCTCTACCATCTGGGAGGGACAGTTAACAGCCAGGCAAGCAGAGAGCCCTCAAGTTCAACACTACCCAGATAGCTTCTTGTCTTAGAAGAGAGAAGAAAATGGGAGATGGGGCCAACTCCTCTTTCACTGGCATCCCCAACCCAGCCAGAAGCTTTATGAGAACAGATCCCACCTCATCTTCCATACCACACACAAAACCACCAACTGCATCAAAAAGCTTTATTTCCATTTGGTCCAAGGCTTGTTAGGGTCGTTAAGAAAGCTGCCTAGTGGCTGGAGGGAGAGGCTTAGGCAGAAGCCCTATTATTTTGCAAGGGGCCCTTCAGAAGTCGCTGGGCTCAGAAGGCTCTTAGTCGTGCTTGAGAGTGAGCCTTTCGAAGAGATACTCGCCCAGCCCAGCCTCCGGGCCGGCCAGCCTGTTGAGGTTGGTCAGGTGGTCACCCATCTTTTTGATGAGCTTCACTTCCTCATCTAGGAAGTGAGTCTCCAGGAAGTCACAGAGCTGAGAGAGAAGAGGGAGAAATTAGAAACCCGATCCCTACCGGGCGCGGTGGCTCAAGCCTGTAATCCCAGCACTTTGGGAGGCCGAGACGGGCGGATCACGAGGTCAGGAGATCGAGACCATCCTGGCTAACACGGTGAAACCCTGTCTCTACTAAAAAAAAAATACAAAAAACTAGCTGGGCGAGGTGGCGGGCGCCTGTAGTCCCAGCTACTTGGGAGGCTGAGGCAGGAGAATGGCGTGAACCCGGGAGGCGAAGCTTGCAGTGAGCCGAGATCCGGCCACTGCACTCCAGCCTGGGCGACAGAGTGAGACTCCGTCTCAAAAAAAAAAAAAAAAGAAACCCGCTCCCTGGAAAAGAGGGAGAAAGAGCTGTTAAATGAGGCTCTGAAGGGAATTTGCCCAAAGAGAGCAAAGGCTTGAGGGGTACGGTTGGGTAGCCATGGATGCAGGGGGTACGTACATGGGGATCCGTGTGGGCAGAACCCAGGGCATGAAGATCCAAAAGGGCCTGATTCAGTTTTTTCTCCAGGGCCATGGCGGCTTTCATGGCATCCGGGGTTTTACCCCACTCATCTTCAGCTGGCTTCTATACAGAAGGGAGAAACGGCTTCAGAATACACACACTCGGCACATGGAACTAAACCTACATTTCCCAAGAGTTGGTGGGGGTCAGAGGTCCAGGCCACGAAGACATGTGACAGCTTGTATTTTATCACTCTCCGCACCCCGTCCTAGCTCTTACAGCTACACGTCCTTAAGACTACGCAGCGGTGTGGACTGCGGCGTCCTGGGGGCACTGCACGACGTGCGCCTCTATTTCCAGCCGTAAAAGGGCTCACAAGACCGAACTCAATCTCCCCGAAGCCCACGCGACATCTAAGCCCTCAAATCAAGGCTCCTCGCGCGCACGGCCTGCTGGGAGATGTAGTCCGTTACCCTACCCACACACTAGTTACCTTGACGTCCTGAAAAAGAGCGCGGCCGCCACGCTGGTTTTGCATCTTCAGGAGACGCTCGTAGCCCTCGCGCTTCTCCTCGGCCAATTCGCGGAAGAAGTGGCTCACGCCTTTCAAAGCCACATCATCGCGGTCGAAATAGAAGCCCTAAGGAAAGAGATGGAGGGAACAAAGCTTAGCGGGAGGCGAGGCCAAAGGGGACTCCGCCCTCTGTTTACTCGACCGGACAAAGAAGGCCGGCGCCTGCGCTGAGGGCCGAACGTGCGCAGCTAGGGGAAATTAGGGCCTGGGGCGTCCTGGGGACTCACCAGAGAGAGGTAGGTGTAGGAGGCCTGCAGGTACATATTGACCAGGCTGTTGACGGCTGCCTCCACGTCGGTGGAATAATTCTGACGAATCTGGGAGCTCATGGTTGGTCGGCAAGACGGAGCTAACCACAAAAACGGTGCTGGCAGGTCCCAGAAGCAGGAGATGGCCGAGAAGATGGTCCCGGAGGTTGCAAGTGGAGAGGAAATCGGAGGGCGGTCGGAGGCTGAAAGAGAGAGTCCCCGGATCTGTTCCGTCCAAACACTGTTGAAGCAAGAGACAGACCCGCGGGACCGCCGAACTGCGAGGGGACGTGGCTAGGGCGGTTCTTTTATAGTGCGCTGGCCCTCGGAGGCGGGGCGCTCGGAGCGGGCTATCGACCAATCTGCGGTGGCAGGAGGCGGGGCCGAAGGCCGTGCCTGACCAATCCGGAGCACACAGGAGTCTTAGCCCCCGCCCCAAAGCAGGGGGAAGTCACGCGCCTGCAGCGCGAGTGTGTTGTGAAATGGGGGCTTGCGGGGGTTGGGGCCCTGGGGCCGATTCGAGGAATGGAGGGTTTCGTGGGCAGGGGGGTGGGGACTGGGGTTCCTCTGGGAGACTATAGTTTTATGGGAGCATTAAGAGTCCTGTGAACTGATGACCCTGGGGTCCTGGGGGTGCCTCGGGAAAGTAAGTCAGATTCTGGGGTTTTGGAGGGCATGGATTTTTCTCGAACCTTGAGTGGGGGGAGGGGCAACTCAGAGGTGCAGGGAGGACCTGTAGTTGCCTGAGGTTTGTGCTGCGAGATAAGAAGTCTCCGGATCCTTGGGAAGCTTGGAAGGTAGTGAGGTGGTATTTCTGGACCCCTGGGGATCTCTGGGAGACAGAGGGGTGCGAGGACTGGAGTCCTGGGCTTTACAGAGGTGGGAGTTCACGATGCAAACTCTATATTTTGGAGCCCTCCCCGGGGAGATCTTTAGGTCCTTGAGGTGCTCTGCAAGTTGGAAAGGGCAGTTGTTCTGGAGCCGTGGGGTTCCCCAGTGCGGGAAGCCCAGGAGGAGCATTGTATGAGGTAGGGTGACTTCTGGAACCCTGGACAGCCCTCTGAAACCCTCCAAAGACTGGCTGGGACTTTGGGGATACCTTGGAGCTCTTTCAAGGGCCCAGTCGTTTTCTGGGAGTGGAAGTGGGGAGGAATGAAATGTCTGTTTTGAGCTTTGCGGTGTCTCTGGGACTGCGTGTCCTGGGGGCTGTTTTGGAGGCAACTCACGGACTCCGAGAATTCTCCTTGGCCCTGAAAACAGTGTCTCTGCAGTTGCCCTCGTGTCTTGCCTGACGTGTGCTCTTTCAGGCCCACAAAGAGAAGCCCTGCGTTGTGGACACACAGTCTGGAGACCTATGGACGAGACGTCTGTCTACAACTAATGCGTATTTTTTAAGTGGACCTGGTCCATGTTGATTTCTGGGAGACGGAGTCGGCGCAAACCTTGACCCTGCTTAAGTGCCCCGATGGAGGTAGCCCGTGCGCTGGGCAGGGAGCTGAAGCCACTGGGGCGTGGGGTGTGAGGTCAGGCCCTGCCCTACAGAGGAGCCGCTCCGAGCAGCCCAGGCAGGGCAGCCCCTGACCGAGGGGAGCTGCAGATGCCTCGCCAGGCCGGTATCTGGGGTCCTTGTTGCAGGCAGCGACTGCTGAGTCATGCTGAGCTCAGCGCGGGAAGGGGCCCCCCGCGGGGATGGATGTGGGTGGGGCCACTCGCTGACCTCATCCCCTTGGCACTCCCCGACTTTTTTGGTGGGACCCTCAGAACTAGACCTGTCTCAGACCCAAATCGGGCCCCTTCCCCCCAGGTCCCCCCTTGTTGGAAGCCGGCTGTGTGCTTTGTCTCCGTGTCTTTTTGGTTCCCATGTTTTTTTCTTTTTTTCCTGGGATCCTGCCTGTGGCCATATTGTCCCCTCACTCTGGGTGGTGGCTCAGTGTACACTCATTGATCCTCTTCTCTCTCCCCTGACTTGGGGTCTTTGGGAAGAGTCCATGGAGGAGGGACAGCCGCCCAAAGCACCCCGTTGACTGTGGGACCCGAGTTACTCATTTACCAAATGTCATACCTCAGCCCAGAGACCTTTAGTCCCGAGAGGGGCCTTGGGGCCCATAGGTGGAGGTAGAGGAGGGGCTGAGAGAGACAGGATCTGAAGACCATAGAGAACGTGGGGTGGGGACACAGAGGCCCAGAGAAAAAGCGACTCAGACAAAACCCTGAGAGAGGGGGGGACAGAGAGGGGGACAGAAACCCAGAGAGAGGGGGGGACAGAGAGGGGGACAGAAACCCAGAGAGAGGGGGGGACAGAGACCCAGAGAGAGAGGGGGACAGAGACTCAGAGGGGGACAGAAACCCAGAGAGAGGAGGACAGAGGTGGGAGGGGAACAGAGGCAGGGAGGTACAGAGACCCGGGGGTAGGGGGGACAGAGGCCCAGAGGGACCGGGGGAGGAGTAGAAATCCAGAGCAGGGGTACAGATCCAGAGAGAAGGGGGGGCAGACAGAGATCCAGAGAGGGGTGGGGTCAGAGACCCAGAGAGAGGGGAAACAGGGATTCAGAGAGAAGGGGACAGGGACTAGGTGGAAAAACAGAGACCCAGAGAGAGGGTGGGACAGGGATGAGGGGGGACAGAACAGGGCTGGGGAGAAGAGACCCAGAGAGAGGGGAGGTACAGAGACCCAAGAGAGGGGGACAGAGACACAGAGAGAGATGGGGGGGCCAGAGATTCAGAGGGGGGGACAGAGACCCAGAGAGAGGAGGCCAGAGGTCTGGGGATGGGGGGTGGAAAGAGCCCAGAGAAAGAGGGCCAAAGGTGGGGTGGGAACAGAGACTTGGAAAGCAAAGACCCAGAGAGAGAAGTGGGGACAGAGACCCAGAGATGGGAGGGGGTAAAGACCCAGAGGGGAATGACAGAGCCAGAGAGAGGGGGCGCCAGAGACTCTGACTGAGAACCCACATCCTCTAACCCCCTTGTCTTCGCTCGGCCCTTGTCTGAGGTCACTGGGCCTCTGAGTTCAGCACCTTCTTCCGGGAGTTCCTCTCCAGGGGGCCCCACCCAGCTGTGGGGCCAGACCAGGTTCCTCCTCCTCTGCCCTGCCCTCCAGCCTCTCAGTCCGCAGCCAGGTCCCTTCCTCTCTCTTCTCAGCCCAGCTCAGGAGGCCTCTCCCATGAGCCCTCTTGCCCTGGTGTCCTCAGCCTGCCACCTTCCAGTCACCCCAGGCTCCAGAGCCCTTCCTGCTTCCCTGGTCCTACCATCCCTCCTCCTCCCACCCCCATTCTCCAGCTCCATAAAGGTATGGCCTCCTGAGGTCCCATGTGTGACACTCCAGGCTCTGGTCCCAGGCTCTGGAGGCTTGCTTTGCAGCCAGCTGTGCTGTTCTTCCCCCTACCCACACGCCTGCTCAGGTCTCACAGGCCGCTGCCTCTGTCCTGCACAGATCGTCCTGGGCTGCGACAGATGTGCCACCAGTCACCTTCCTTTCCCTTCACGACTGTGGGCTCCTGCAGGGCAGGCCCGGGACCAACTCATCCCTAACCCACAGACCCCACTGGGCACCCCAGAAAAAGATGTCAAGGGAGTGCAGAGAGCCCCACGTCCCTGAGTGGCCCGAGCAGGTATCTCTCGGTGAGTAGACGGCAGGCCTGGCATGGGGCGGCGGGCAGGGCCTGCTCTCCTGATGTGCCAGGGAGCGGGGCAGAGGCCCAGTGACTCAGATGCCGAAGTATGTCCCGAAGGAGGTTTATTACCCCCTCAAGACCACTCTTCCCCACCCCCCACAATAATTACAAAAGTAAGAAAAATGCCCATGTCCCCCAATCCCCACCCCTCCCAGAAAAATGCCATAATTTATGGAGGAAAAACACAGTTCAAGGCAGCTGGGGGCCTCAGCCCATCTTCTTCCAGATGGTGAGGGAGGCGGTGAGTACTCCAGCCACCAAGATGGTCACGGTCTGCCACGTGGGCGTCCCAAAGTAGGAGAGGAGGCCGTCCTGGAGACAGGGACATCAGTCGCTTCAGCGACTCGGCCAGGGGCAGCCCCTGGGCAGGCACAGGCAGGATCAGGGAGGCAGGAGGAGGTCAGAAGGCAGGATTGTGGGCAGGGGACTAACATGAATGGGCATTAAAGAGCTGGGCTCGGGCCAGGCATGGTGGCTCACACCTGTAATCCCAGCACTTTGAGAGGCTGAGGCAGGAGGATCGCTTGAGGCCAGGAGTTCGAGACCAACCTGGGCAACATAGCGACACCCCCTTCTCAGTGGGGAAAAAAAAAAGACAGAGTTGGGGTCAGAGGATCATCAATGAACTTGAGCAATTCCGGAGGCAGTGGAGGCTCCAGGGAGGGCAGAAGGCACTAATCAAGTCAAGGTCACAGTGAGGTCAGAGGTCACCGGGAGGTCAGTGGGATAGATGAATCAGGGATTGATCAGACACATAAGGAAATGCATTATAGACCACATCTGATGATCCAAAGATGGGGAGAGGGCACCACTGTGACCGGCTCCAGAAGGCCCAGGGTCCCAGAGGAGTGGCGGGTGGGCAGGGACAGTGGGGCAGGGGCGGTGGTTGGGGTGAGGAGGGTTGAGGAGTCTCACCCAACCACCCTGGTCTTGGATCCAGCCCAACAGCCGCTCCCGGAGGAAGTCCAGTGTCCAGCCCATGATGGTTCTGATCAGTTCGGGCACCTTGGTACACAGGGCCTGTGGGGAGTGGAGTGGATGTTAGGGACCGAACCTTGTCCCCAGTGCCTGGGGATAGTGGCCCCAAGCCTCCTTTCTCAATTCTTTGCCTCCCCTCAAAGATTTCTGCCACCCACAATTGAAGTCGGCTTCAAATATTGTAAACATGGCCAGGTGCGCCAGCTCATGCCTGTAATCCCAGCACTTTGGGAGGCCAAGGCAGGTGGATCATTTGAGGTTGGGAGTTCAAGAACAGCCTGACCAACACGGAGTAACCCCATCTCTACTAAAAACACAAAATTAGCCGGGCATGATGGTGCATGCCTGTAATCCCAGCTACTTGGGAGGCTGAGGCAGGAGAATCGCTTGAACCCGGGAGGCGGAGGTTGCGG